TGGTCAACCACACTGGGCAATCAAACCTCAAGTTGGTAGTGGTAGGTTATTTATAAAAATATCTTGTTTTCTGGTGTCGAATATTTGAATATTTCCCGAGTTAACTTTGACTATTCTTAATATAAATCCATTTCTTCTACAGTGTCCAGTTATCCCGATCCAGAGACTGGATGACTTATCTCTACTTTTTTACGTCACACTTTCGCCAATAGTTCAAACTTTAGACTCTGAAGTTAAACAAATAAACGTTATGCATGATATATAGTCTAACAGACATACAAAATCTATTTCTCCCTCAGTTAGCCGTAGTGAAAAACAGTTCGTGCTCCAAAGAAGATTTCGAAGCTAAACTTAAACCTTGATCTTTGCCATCGTCATTGGGCGGTTGTTATTAGTATGGTAAAGTGTAGTTTACTGTGGTCTAGTAGAATCGGCGTTGAAGGCACCGTTTAAAGAATGTTCATGACTTGTTTCCATGATGTTTAAACACTGTTCTCTCGTGAAATTTCTACGAATTAACTTGTAAAAGATCAAGTTAAGACTCAAGTAGCCAAGTCTGGAAACCCCCAAAAGAATGCGTGTCCCTACTAAGTTTAGTAGAAGACATAAAACGCTCTATCTCATCCCCAAGCTCCTCCTGGTGCAACGTGCTGCATCGTTCCAGAGCTCCCTAGTAAACTTGCGCATCCCCAAACCCCCAAACTATTTTTTGTATCCCAAATTGACAAGCCAGCGGTCCCTAGACTACGAGTTTGAAGCCGTGCTGGAGTGTGAAGTACTCAGCCTCGTGTGAAAAATGAACCTGTGGTACATATTGCGCTATATAACACATTATATCGCAGTCTGTGATGAAAAACCAGGAAGTTTTCTGTTTAGAATTATTTGTTTGGAAGGGCTGACCGCTCTAAAATGAAATTTCCAACTAAATGAAAGCTAAATAATTGAATATATATGAAGGGCTGACATTAAATATGATTTTTTATATCTATAAAAATGTGTCTCATAAGTTAGATTTCAGTACTAATAACTAAAATACCAAAACATCGCCGAAATTTGAGCATAAAGTTCGAAGAAATTTTCTCATTTTTTGTTATGACAACTTACATCTGGTACAATTAACGGCATGCTGCGCTCCAACGTGGCTGACAAAAATCATTGTTCCAAAGTTTACGCAACTGAATGAAAAAGTTAATGTCACATTCCTTGCTTCTCTCAATACCAATGCAATAGCGTAACTTTTCTTGGGTTCCCTGACACTTCAAGGTTGTTTATTAACGCGGGGCCGCCTGCTACTTACAGCCATTCATCATTGGGACATTTTAGCATTTCATCCTTTACCAACTTAACCTAACCTGACCTACATGTACTTGTGTTTGCAAAATACACATCGTGCTATCATGAAATGAAATTTTACGGTGAAATGTTATGGTGATGAAATGTAGTGCAATGATGAATTGCTATAATGATGAGATGCCCTAATGATGAAGTGCTCTCAATCTATGAATTATATAAATTAAATAGATTATTTTAGCCCAATTTACCTCGTATTGAATGTTGTATAGTGACGGGCAGCTATTCACTTAATATATCTATATCACGATCGGTAAAAAGTGACATATTAATCAAGCATTACACCAAGATGATAACGGCAGGGAATCATTAAGCAAAATGAACAGCTGAGTTTACGTCAAATTCTACCCTATCGCACAATCAAAACAGATTCTACCCTATCGCACTTCATTAACATATTATCTATTGAACGTCAGTTCAATAGATACGTACTTACCGAGTACGAGTACTGATGACAGACAGTACGGCCAGGTGAGGAACTATTGCTATTTTCCATGATTATTGTTACATTCTGTTAATTATTATTATTATTATATGTTCGTAATTATTGTTGTACACTGAAAATTCTGTAAGTTTCGCCTGCTGCTTGCCAACAACATCCATCCATCCACACGTTAGGCAGCCGCTATCAAACGTCACAGCCCTTGTGCCATGCCACTCACTGGGCGTCCGGCAACAGCATCGCATAACTGCGCGCGACTTGAACTGCAGCGAACGTTTTCTCTATTCTGCTACGAAGAAAACTTAACAGAACAGAGCTTTTCGAGGGTAACTGTAATGGAAAGCTACGCATATGCTTGAGACTTCAGGTTCGGGAAAGTGAGGAGAGGACTTGCTAGTGTTGATCACCTGTTTTATTTTTAAACTAATCTATAATAAAACTCATTATCAGCTTAAAAATGACGATATATTCTTATTTGAATAGCGATTTCTGAGGTGGGCTTTCATGTTCCCAGTTCCACCGGCGGTGACTGCCTGACTCATGACAGGTAAGTGGAGAGTGGTGACCAGAGCCCAGAGCCCAGAGCCAGAGCTGATGGGGCATCAGCATATGTACATTTTATGAAATCTTTTAGCAATAGAAGCAATTATGACGCTTTGAATTCCATGCTATATCCGACATTAAACTAATATCGAATATTCAGTTTCGATTAAGAAAAGCCAAGAAAGTACTTAAAGCTAAGAAAAGTACAAGAATCGGCGACAGGCCTATCCTGGCCTATTCTTCAATGCCGAAAATACTATACTATACTATATCAGGTTTTATATAAGATTCGAAGTTCGAACTGCAGATTGAATATAGAAAGCATAAATTTTACGAGGCTTGGGAGGAGTTTTCATCATTTATGATTAGCCTGAGTCTACGCAAGGGCTTGATTCATTATTTCCAGCATTAAATTTACCTCATTTATCTTTTGAAATTTCATGCCATATCTCGGAAAATATATCTCAGTCCGTTAGAATTTTAATGACCTTGTTCAATAGCTATATTACAGTTATCCCCCAAAAGATTAACTATAGAAAAATTTTTGAGGGTAAGCGTTCTCATTTTAGAAGAACCTCCAGCATCACTGCATCAGTAACTAAACATATCTTAATTTATTTTCAGATAAAGCTTGTAGTAATGTCACGTATGTAAGTCATAATTTCTTGAGCAACTTTCAGAAGTTTGTAGATTCTATGTCATATATTTTTGCACATCAACCAACTATGATGAGGTGTTTTCAGTTTAATAAAAGCGTTCAGTTGTTATGGATTAAGAAACGTGTAACAAGTCTTGCAAGCTAAGAAAAATCAACAAATTACAGAGACAAATTCTCAGACTGATCATGTATTTATTTTAGTAATAATTTTTTCCCACGACTTGATATTTTTTCTATTGTTATTGCTAAACCAACTGAATAATTTTCAAGTCCACGTGAAACGTACAGAAAAGAGCTCGCCGTGCTTCAAAACTAAAATTTAGCTGCAACTTTTGGCTAATAAGCTTTTTTATGAAGCTCAAACAACGATTAGGATCTAATAAATTGTTTTTTATCCCACATATAGGCGTAAGAAGTTGTTTAAATTGCCTTTTAGATCATATAATTCCGCCTCTTGTTCAGTGTAGACGCGGTGCGTTGGTCACAGCGAGTTATGCGGCGCTGTTGCTGGACGTGTCAAAAGTGAGACGCCTTCTCGTCCTCTGCATCACCACGGCCGCGCGCTGCCATAACAACGTGTGTTGGTTGCATTTTTTTATTCTCTGTTTGTTGAACTAAGTAATTAACCTAATATCTATTTATTTATCTATTATCTAATTTATTATTATCTAATTTATAATATCTATTAATCTATTTATTTACTTATTTATTATACCAAGACGCAAAATTATATATCAAGCATTAATTATGCTTGAAACCGCAACCCAATACCATACATTTAATTAACAACAGTAGTGCGTGCTGTGTTCATGTTTGAAACCGATTAGGTAGTTTAAACCTATAATAGAAACATTAAAATTAATTAATAGAAAAGACGCCAACATATGTACTACATCAATTTCTACCGCGATGCAATCAATGTTTTTGTTTTGAATTTAATACAGATATCTTCATAATCCAGAGAGTTATGAATAAGCTTAACACATTCACCAAACTTGCATTAGAGTTCGGAAGAAATGATAGAAAAGTAATTTAAATGTCTAAATTCGTGCATCGAGCCTGTCATTTTCATATGTGTGAAATTTATGGTCAATTCATAGGTAGTTTTTGTTGAATTAATAATAATATCTGAAGGCCGTCGTCCGGGCCGCGGCCCAATGGGTGTGAAATCAGCGACGGTGTACTTGTAAAAAATTCTAGTATTTATTGAAGTATTTATATTTTAATTGTATGGCATGTTTTCATTGTTTTTTAGAGTTCATAAATAAACACTTTCTATATTTCTACTGCCGATAGAATCCCGCGGTCTGCTTTAATCAGCCGATAGAGTTCCATAAATTTCATAAATTAATGATTATTTTCATTTAAATTTGTAATAAATTAATGATTAATCTCATTAATAGTTCTTGGAACCCCGCGATAAAGTGAAGATGCGGTAGGAGCAGCGCGATATAACGAGATTTACTGTACGAGATCTTGCCTCGAGTAGTAAGAAGAGAAAGAAGCTCCGCTTGTTTGCTGTCTTGCAAACAATTATTATTCGAAATGTCGAAAATTATTCATCATGAACGTAGAAGTACTGCGTGTACAATGTACACTTGTGTGTACAGTGTGCACTCGTGTGTACAGTGTACACTTGTGTGTACTGTGTACACTTGTGTGTACAGTGTACACTTGTGTGTACTGTGTACACTTGTGTGTACAGTGTACACTTGTGTGTAGTGTACACTTGTGTGTACTGTGTACACTTGTGTGTAGTGTACACTTGTGTGTAGTGTACACTGTATATCTACAACCAAATCCCATGGAATTCACCATGATGATAGAAAATATCTATAAAATATATAGATATTATAGATTAAATATAGAGAGGAATAAAAAGCCTTGTCTTGCCCACATCATCACTGCAGAAGACTATCATCATGAGTGAAGACTACATATCATTATCATCTGATGCCGCACACATCGAGCGCGTTGCGTATAACCAATGGATAATAAAAGACGTTCATTATTCAGATTTTATACAGAAATGGACTACAACACAAACTAGACAGCTGCTGGGGGACGCTAGGGCTCTACCGTCCTGCCCCAGAGCGGTTATTGGTAGCTACCTCATCCCCCTCACCACGCTAGTGGCAATGGTAGCATAACCATTACCGCTCACTTGTAAACTATTGAGACTCGTAAACCATGCACCATCGATGGTAGGCAGGGTCGCAACCAACAATTAACATTCTCGTCAAAGTTCTAGCTCTTAACTTAACAACCCTTTCAAACATTCGTGACATTAGAGTGTATTACGTCAAGCTATCAACACCATAACACAAGAGTATCGTGGATGTGCACTCATTTCTTTCGGAGATCAGCGTGTAAAATACCCTACAACTCCAGCAAAATAAATGTAGAATTAATCTCAACTCCCGCAGTGCCATGCATGCTCCGGCCCTGATCTGCTCCAACCCTGCTTTGCCGGCCTCTACACGACGACAGTATCTTTAATTGAACCTAGCGGCACGCAGCTCAAAAAATGTAATCCTGAAGTTAAGCAGCTTGTTGAACATTATCATAGCCCCCGATGCACAGCCTCTGCCCCGTAGTAGTCCTACGCTATAGATAAATTTTCTTAAAACTCTGCGTCCTTTGATGGGAGCATCAGCCCCCGCGTCCCGGTCCCCCACCCGAGCCGCGCAACCCGTCCTCTAGGCTCAACAGGTTGTAAGATTCGGTCCCTAGCGTACATTAGCACACCAATATCAAGACTGTACATCAAATGATGGAATTACACTCATATACATCGCTAATATTCCTCAAGATTATCTAAGAACAGCCTCATAATGTGAAATGTTGCAACATTTGTTCAGTGAACACGGTCGACGAGTTGGCACCCGCGCCACAAGCCGCGCTCTTCCATTGGTCGAGCCGACAGCCAATGAGCGAGCGCCGTGGGTTGTGCGTGGGTGCGGGCAAACATTTTAACACGAATATCACAACACAAAGAAGAAGGATACGATCACTCCTAAGAAACAATTAATATTTCCGTATTAAATGCTAATTACAAAATAATATCCAAATTGTCCGAACCTTAACTACTTGTTGTAAATTAAATGCACAACTTAGAAGATCTTGGAAAAAAGGTTATAGAACAATAGGACTCCGGTACATCCACATGTAAAAAGAAACTGAAACAATGGCCGGCAAGTCTGCTCGTACCTCAAATAATAAATGCTTACATGCTCGATGTTGTGTCAAAAAACACATCTTGAAATAAAAAACAATATCCAGCGCAGGGTTCGGTTGTACATGGAGCAGTGCTAACAGAAAAACCCTATAAGCATAAGCAAAAAGTTAATTAAACCTTGAAATGTTTTGGTAAGCTTGAAAAGTTCTTGTTGTACAGTAGAGTTGACCCGGCAGCATAGCCAAGCAACTTAGATACGCCCACTGCGGAAAGTTGGCCGCGCAAGTGGGCGTGGCTAAGTGATGCGGCAGGAAAAAAGGACACGCCCAACGAGAGAATAGGAACAGTTGGCCGCGCAAGAGGGCGTGGCTGAGTAAGGCGGTAGGGAGGGATGACACGCCCACAAAGACAATTGAAATAATTGGCCGTGCGTGTGGACGTGTCTGAGTGGGGCGGCAGGGAAGCAGACTAAGGAAATGGGAGGGGTTAGAGGCGGGGATGGGAAGAGTCAGAGGGCGGAGATGGGGCCCCTGAAGGCGGAAATGGGAGGGGTCAGAGGGCGGAGATGGGAGGAGTCAGAGAACGGAGATAGGAGGAGCCAAAAGAGGGCGATAATAGCATTTGAATTACGTTAATTTGAGGAGTCAAAGGACAAAAATGGGAAGAGTAACAGGGGGCGAGAGATTATTCCTCGGGGAGTCACGTCACTAACAAACAACCATAAGCTACGGACGCAGGCGGAGGAGTTTAGAGGCGAAAGGAACCATTGATGTACACGTAACCTTAGCAGCATTAAACTTACAGAGTAAATATCACCACTAACTGCGCTATCACAAGATATGTACAGCTTCTACAATGTACAATTTTTCACCCTGCAGATGCTTTGTACAGCGCGGATCACGGTTGTGGCAGACCCAGTGACGACTTTGTCCGAGTTTAGTGTCCATGAAGCCAACATTAGACGGAGTCAGTGCCATCAGTACCAGACCATACATATGCGACTTGGTCCTATTTTTGAGACAGTTATTATTGTTCACAGTTGGCCGTGTTCGATATGTTGGCAGCAATGCATGTGATTGGCTGCAGGAACAACCAGGCAACCACAAGGCTCATTGCAGTCCAAATACTTGGTGACAAATATTCAAAGAAAGCTACAAAAGGCGCAGTCCGGTGCTGTGAGGACAAGCGGTTTGCGTTGAGGACATAGTATGTCTTCACCAATTTCCTGTTTGTTAGCTTTAGGTGCATTACTCGAACAAAAACGCATTAATTCATACGAGAAAAGCCTAAATGAGTAACTAAATCTAGCAGAGGCTAGTCTAATGACTTGCAGGAGCCCGACAACGCCACACTAACTCACAATTCAACAAACGAAATTATCAATTTTATAAAGACATCTCATTTGCAAATGAAGTCCAGTAAAAAAATATCTTATTTAACAATGCGTTAAATTGTAATATGTATTCATTAGACCTTGTATATTGAGTAGTCCGCCATTAGAGCGGCTCTAAATCTTGAAAATTTTGTCGACCATTTAGCGCGGTTCAAAATCTCCACATATGTAGAAGAAACACCACGACCTGGCCAAAGCGCAAGTAGTCTGTTCCTCCTGTAGTCTTCGGGTCAAAATGACCAGCAAGGGCATACGGCGTGTACAGGAAATGAAGACAACAGGATGGTTAAGTTCATCGCAATTGTTCTGTGTAACGAAACTACAGGCGACGCGAATACAAACTCAAGAGTTACAGGCGTTCGAATGTACCGTCAAAAATGCAGAAGATACCACGAAATTGATTTGTGGAAATGAGTATAGTATTTTTCTGTTAGCGACATGGAAGTAGGCAGGCAATGAGAGGAGCTGAGTGGGGCTTTGAGTATGGCTGAGTGAGCTCCGAGAGAGGCTGAGTGTGACTGAGTGGGCTCTGAGTGTGACTGAGTTGGGCTCCGAGTGTGGCAGAGGATTCTAATAAAATGTCTAAAGTTTATAGCTTCCCAACTGTAATGTCATTAATGTTATGAAAATTCAAGGAATCGCCCTCGCATCAGCACCCGAATAACCTCAGACTTTTGGTCACACAGGAGCACTATGCAGCGCCACACAACGAACAGCCCACATACATAGGATACCTTATCAAAAATACGAAAATATTCATAAAGTATTAATAAATTTGCAAGAAAACGCGCCCATTCCTGCACGACACGTGGACGAGGAACGCTATACATCGCCACACGAATATGAAAAAATGATGGAATAAATAACTGTTGGATGAGTGAACGACCAATATACATTTAATACATGAGTGAACGCTGCGATCCATCGCGCGCCTGACATGAATAGTTCACCTGCCACATATAAGTGAGTATTCAACCACAATAACTGCTTTAATGTCTGCCATTCAATATCAATTAAAGTTAGTTTCAGGCAAAAGATAATTTTCTCGGATCTCTTGAAGTGGACCGACTTTCTGTAGTGAACCGATGGCATTGGAGGGAGTAAGACGAGTCTCACTTTTGGTCGACGAGTTGAGAGGAATATGGTGGGGATTAACCCCAGGGTGAGATTCTAGGGTCCTGGGATGGGTATTTTCAAAGAGCAGGATCGAGGGAATTATGGGTGAGAGGAGTCAGTGGGGATTGAAGGGCGGAGTTGGAGGGTGAAAATGGAGGGAATCAGTGGGGGAAGACGGGTGTAGTTTGAGAGTGAATAATTGAGGAGGCTGCTGGTGGGGATACGAGACCGAGGGTAGAGGTGGGGGGAGTCAGAGGGTGGGGAAGAGGTCAGCCCACTTCTGATTACAAAAAGCCCGGAGGCTGTGACCCGCTTTGCCCACAGGTGAGTCGTCCTCGTTGAAGGTCTCGCAGTTGTTGAACATCAGTTGCAGGTCCTCGGAGAACTCGGAGGGCGTCTTGTAACTGAAACGATACGTAACATTAATTTAATCGAGAACATTAACTTGCATTATAAACAAATGATACATCGTGTTCTTACAAATAATTACAATTAATACAACAATAATATAATCAACATCAATACATCACATTATCTCCGTTTCACAAAAATAATCTACTGACATTTCCTTCTTTTGTACAATAATCGATCGAGTTACATATAGAGTAACTCGGTTAGTAGCTCATTGCGATGGTTCTCTAGAGAACTAAGACAGCGAGTGGCTTGTCTAGGAAGCCGGATATATTGAATTATTTTCAACCACACAAAACAGCGAGACTCCGCGTTCTCGTCACTCAAATCTACACCAAACTCACTATTTACGACAAAAATGCTCGTTGGGAACAATACCTCACCGCCATAATTTAAGAATACTTAAACCGCCACGTCAACGTCAAACAATTAAATCCCTTGAAGTAGAACCAAAACATTACCCCAGGAAAGCCATCAACTTCAACGGTTAAAACCATTAACATCAGCAACGAAAAGCTCGCCTATCGCTTCATTAGTCTATTTTCTGTCACTGTGGCCGACGACCAACACGGCTTAAAGCCTAGTCACTCACCTACAGCCGGCTCGATCTACTCACAAGATATTAGTTCTCATTGAACAAAAAAAAAAACACTCACCGAACCACACAATGTCAACCCCCGGATTCTGACCAGCGACCTCCTCTCCTCCCCACTACCCAAATCAATCACCCGCAGGATCGACAACTTCCTGCACGGCCGTTCATCTTTAACTGAATTCTTAATAAAAACTTAAACTTCACCAAAACAAAAACAACATGACGATGGCCCCTAGAATGCAGTGATGGGACCGTAAAGTCAGCACTCACCTGCCGTCCTCGAGCTTGCGCCGCACTACGGACAAGTCGATGGGGCGCCGTATGACTCTCCTGTAGGCGGGGAACTGACGGGTGTTGACGGGCCGTAGGAAGGGCCACGAGTCTGTATGTTGCTCCAGCAGCTGCAGCAATACTCGGCACAGCTGCACCTGCTCTCGCACCTGTAACATCAAATCAAACGTAAACTTCACGCATTGCTTCAGTAGTCTAGTCTGTCTAGTGTTCAAAGCTACCGCCTTCCTCTTCCGTGTTAGGAAATAAAGCTCTTCACATTCGCTTATCCCAAACCCCGGAGAGGAAAGGTATTTCTAAAGTCAAAATTATGTTATGCTTTCTAATGAATATTCCAATGCATTGAAGTCTCCACAGTCCTGACTTTCATAACCATGACACCAATTACTTTTATAGTCATAACACAGAAACCCTTACCTCTATAGCCATAACCATCATAAGGGCATCATATATATAACCATCAGTACGATGCAGCCAACGACATTCTCGTTAATGGGAAATGTTTCTAAAACCTTTGGCTAGAAATATAATATAAACACGAATTATATAAATAAAAAGAAGGTGCATTAAATTTCCAAACATTAAATAATTGCTATCGTTGACCTCACCTTCTTGGCGGGTCTGCTCTTCTTCGACAGCCCCTGTGCGTCATCAGCGTCAACGCTGCTGCTATTGTTGCTGCTGCTGTTGTTGCTGTCGCCGATGTTGTTGTTGCTGCTGCCGTTGTTGTCAACATCTCTGTCTTCGTTGCTGCTTTCATCAAAAGCGTCAACAACGACAGCGTTGTGGCGGTTATTTTTCTGCACAGCTGCGTTGTTGGCATCAGAAAGGTTGCAGTTGCTGTCGCCCTCTTGGAAGGGTGTGAATGCGTTGGCAAAGCTGTAACTATTAACAACAGGTGACGAGTTCACTTTCGACGAGATGTTATTGCTCAGATTATCGTCAGCCGCAGACTCAACCGCGTCCAAAGGAACGTCTACTCCATCCCTAGGAGCTGACGATACCATGGATTCTGTCCCTGAACCAACCACTGAGAGTGGGTCGTTCAAACCAGTTTGTGATGGGTCAGACGCGTGACACGCGGAGGCTAATGCGCTTGTTGAGACTGCCGAGGCGGGGGAGGCGGAGCTTGAAATGGGCGGGGCAAAAGAGGGTGACGCGGAAGGTGATTGGACATGAGGATGTGGGGTGGTCTGATTTGTATGAGATATGGAATTAGAAGGCGGACCTAAAACATGGTTGGGTGGAGCCAACGCCCCAGTGGACTGATGGAGGGCGATAGTGGGAGGAGCAGCGACCACTGATATTGATGTGGGCGGAGCGATAGAGGGGTTGGGCGGAGCCACTGCAGACGCGTTGGTCTTTTTTGATCGCGGAGCTCGACGTGGGCGGGGCGTTTTATTGCTGCAGGCGGGACAGTGCCACTTGCTGCGGGGTATTTTAACGACAGGAGGATTGGCACAGGGAGTGGCATGAAAAGATCTAGGGCATGTAAAACAGTGCAAGAGGTTTCTGCCGTCGGTGCCCCCACATACGAGGCAATGGCGACCCTGGTTACCCGTAAGCTCCTTATTAACACACTCGTAACAGAACCAATCCCCATCCGGGATATCAACCATGGGGGGCCTGAAGCAATGCGTGTGGTAGCCCTTGTCGCAACCGTCACATAATAATAACTTTTCCTCAAAATCACCGCTGGAGCAGAATTGACAGAATGCCTTCATGATGCTTTTGTCCCAAGCCACGGCATTCTCCAGAGCTTGGCTGCAAATATGAAGTTGGGCAGCCGTTTCGCAAGCAGCGACCGCTGTGCGCCACACGTGCAGCCCTCTGTAGACGTCGCCGTTTTGCTTTTCACTCTCTTCCTCTGTCGGGTTACTATTTGAAGCACCTGTAGTACAAGACGCATCGCCGTTGGCAGCTGTTGACGACATCTGCGGTGTTTGTGACGTAGCTGAAGAGACGTTACTGGAGCTCTGACTGTCCACAGTGTTGACGATGGAGGAGTTGGCGGCCTTAACGTTGTGCCCAGGAGCGAGTGGCGGCTTCAGGTAACGCCGCTCGATACCTTCCTCTAATTTTAGGAGTCTTTGTCTTCCCACGTGAACTGCGTTGAGAACTTTCACTTCTAGCTCATCGGGAGCCTTGGCAGCCGAAGCCTGCCAAGGTTTGGTGTCAGCGACTACATTATTGACGCCATCCACTACCTCTGCACTACCACACGTCGGTTCATCATCATCCTCGTTGTCGTTGGGGCTGGGTGGGCTGTAATGGTTTATTTGATTTGCGATAAATGCGGGGGCAAAACTGCCTGGGGTTTTGGGCGGCACTTCTCCAGCAGTCCAGGATTTGGTCTGCATAGAAGCAGCAGTAATTTTTTCTTCAAGAGCCAAGATGTACTCTAGGGCAAACATTTCGTCTTTGAGAGCAGCGGCTTCACTCCAATCAGTCGGAATATCATCTTCAACGTTACCGTATTTGTCGTAGCAAATTGTAAGCGAGGTTCTGTCATGCACCTTGGGTGCCATTTTGTTGGTTGCAGCTCTTGAATTGTGAGTTTTATCAATACATGATTTTGGGGAGAACTGAGCTTTGGTTTGGCCTGTAGCGTCAGTACAGTTTTTTCTGCCATTATTGATCACAGAGGGATAATCATCACCAGGTTTCAGGTGGTTGGCAGGCACGGCAACGAAAGACGTCAGTTCTTGATCAACCTGCTGGCTGCAGTGCGCAATAATGTTCGAATGTTTCTCCAAGAATCGCTTGAGTTCGCGTTCTCTCAAGCCACGGTCGTTGAGAGCAGCTTGAAAATCTGCCAACTCTTCTTGGCTTTGGAATCTCCACCACCCTGATAGGTACGCGGTAGGGATAGGCGCTGCTTCAGCAGTTTGATGGAGTCTTTCCAGAAGTTCTTTTTGAGAGAATACAACCGTTGCTGGACTGGTGGGCGCCGTACTTCCACCACTACCTCCACCATAAGGGGTGAGTGTGGACGGTGTAGCAGCACTGCACACAGACCCGTTTGCTACCAGGGAGCAGTCACTGCCATTACTGGGACCCTGTACCTCCACTGCGGGTCCGGCTGAGTCCGAACACTCCATAGCGGACCCGTTGTGGTCACACGAGGTCTCCAGATGGGAATTAAGACTGCTTTCATTTGCGCCGTTTAATCTTTCTTCAACAGAGTTAACACACGCAAGCTCGAGGTCATCTCTTGCCGTTTTACTAGGTGTGGAATATACGGGAACTCTAGGCGGCACCAGCGCCTGATTAGGATGATAGTGTTGCAAGGGACAGCACAGCGCCCGCGGCAATAGACTGAAATACAAATGTTCTGCCTGAAGAACATGTTCAGGTCGCAAATACTGACCTGGGATGAGACCTAACCCCGTAGCCACCAGTTCACGGCCTACCACTCCCGCCAGACCGCCCCCGTTTGTCGTCACCACCGAAGTGGTCGAGCTTACCGGTGCTGTGATGGAAGTAGCCAATGTGGTTGCGGTGGTTGTAGTTGTGTTCGTCCCAGGGGAGATAAGAGAAGCCCCAGGGGAGATAAGCGAGGCCCCAGGAGAGATAAGCGAGGCCCCAGGGGAGATAAGAGAGGCCCCAGGAGATATGAGAGAAGCAGCAGTGGAGATAAGAGCAACTTCAGGAGCTGGAGTGTCACAAGCGGATATGTCCCCAGTCGCCATGGTTGTTGTGGTGGAGGTCGTGGTGGTTGTGGAGCAGGTGGAGGAAGCATCGTCGTTTGTGGTGGATGAAGATACAGGATTGGTGGATAATTGGTTGTCATTTTCACTGGATGAATCCACGCCCGATGCGTCAGATAGCCCGTTGGTTAAGACCGTCAACGGTTCTTTCTTCTCGTCTCTGACGGAACTGGACGTATCCTGAGAGTCTTTTTGTAGACTGGTGGTCTCCGAGGTTTCTTTTTGTGGACTAGCAATCACCGAGGCATCCTTTTGTGGACTTGATGTCTCCGGAAAGTCTTTCAGTGGACTAGAAGTCTCCAGGGCGTTCTGTGGACTGGGTGTTGCCTGTGCGTCCTTTTGTGGACTGGAGATCTCGCTGACATCCTTCCGTGGACTGGATGTCCCATGGGCGTCTTTGAGTGGGCTGGACGAGTCGAAGGAAGAAGACTTGATGTCCATCACCTCGATTTTTGCGAGGCTGTGGATAGTGTTGGCTATTCTAGGTGGGATATCTGGCAAAGGGATATCATCGATATTTCGGAAAAGCTCGTCACTTTTGCTTAATTTCTCGTCTTTTGAATCGACAAACTCACTTTTTATTGAATTATTTTCACTTTTGAACGCGAGGTCGTTGGGTCCACCGACAGGCTTGGTGTCTACATCCATTTTCTCGACCTTGGGTTCGAGTTTAGGTTTCAGCTCTAACTTTATCATCCTTTCTCTGTCCTCTTCTTCGTCGTGTGAACCATCATCATCATCCACGTCATTTTCATCATCTTCCATCCTGTTGTTCTCACTGTTGCTTTTACCGTTCCTGTTACATCTAAAGGATATATCAACAGAATTTCTATCAGTTTTGGTTTTTTCGTCCAAATTCTTGGGGGTTGAGGGAGTCTCGTGGGGGAAACGGGTGCTGTCGGGGGTAGAGGAGAGGATGCGATCTGTTTTGGATGTGGGGAGTGGGACGGTCGGGGGGAAGTGCTGGTGTGGGAGGTAGTCACACGACGACACCCCCTCCAGGTACGGGCCCCCGCAGTGGGGGAGCATCCACATCGTGCGCTGCAAGTGAGAGAGAGGGACATTTTAAGGGGAGTGAGGAGAGTTGGGGGATTGAGGGTGTCCCCTACTAGACAGAAAAGGCGCCTGTACATCGAGCCACTAGTGGCGGACACTACAACTGTCCACTACAAGCCGCCACTAAGTACTGGGCTACTGACCACGTGTATAGGACCTACACTCAGACAAATAAGCCATATTGTCCAAATATTGACACACTTACTCACCCACAGAAAGACCAGCGACATCACGTATCACTAATACGTTCTTGTGCCGGGCTAAACTGGGTCAGGATGACCCAAACGAGAGCAATAAATGCATCGTTAAATGGACAAAGTCCCACACATTTTTTACTGTGTACTGACAATGGAAAGACCCAGTAGCACGAGGCCAGCTGTGCAGTGACTCACTTGCTGTGCAATGACCCACCTGGTACCGGTCCTGGCCGCAGTGCACAGCGCGCACTTGCTGTGCAGTGTCGAAGAGCTGCTGGCGCACAGCATCCATCTGCTGCTGCAGCTGCTGCACAGCCGCTGCTTCCTTGCTGCGCGAGCCCTCTGCGTCATCCTGCAGTCATAGATTTATGAATAATATATAATATAGTATATGATATAATAAATAATAATATATATAATGGTATAGATCCAATAGAGTAATAAAATAAGAAAGAGTAACTTACGTGATCGTGTAGGTCGTCCATGCCAACGTCAGACTCCGCCCCCGACTCCTCCCCCTCCTCAAGCTCCTCCTCTTCATCGTCAGGGGCGTGGCTTTCCTTGGCCCCGCCTCCTTTTCTGCTCCCGCACACTGCCAACGACGCGTCGTCGTGATGAGTGCCGCCCACTTCAGGCTGAGGCTGTGCACCGCCTACTTCAGATTGTGCCCCGCCCACTTCAGGCTGTGCTCCGCCCACTTCAGTTTGTGCCCCGCCTACTTCAGGCTGTGCTCCGCTCACGTCAAGCTGTGTCCCGCCCAGCGAGCTGCAAACGCTCAGGTTGCTGTCGTCGTTGTGCAGCTTGTGGTCGGGATGGCTGAGGTTCGCTTGGTAGATTCGCTTCCGGGCGATCGACATGCGCAGCCTGCGACAAAACCTTCCGTGAGTACACATAACTACACAACCACACAGCACCATACAGCACCACGCTTCCTCCGCCACCACGCATCAATGTACTTAACCCTCTACCGCCGTATGTCTCTCTCCGGAAACATAACTTTAAAGTTAACCCTCTACCGCCGAATGTCACTCTCCGGGAACATAACTTTCAACTTAAATTATACGTAAACTATTGAGTGTAGCAACCTGAGGACGTTTGTACGCAACAGAGAACATTTTAAAGTAACTTTCAACTTAAATTATACGTAAACTATTGAGTGTAGCAACCTGAGGACGTTTGTACGCAAAAGAGAACATTTTAAAGTTGTCGTACGTGGCGGCAACCATCAGTGCAAGTCATTTTGCGCTCACTAGAACCTATCCTTTTTGGGGAGTAGGCGCGTGACAATATTACTCTGGTTACTCATGTCAGGCGGTAGAGGGTGAAGATCCCTCCTAGTAACAAGTACCTAAACCCAGAGTTCATCTTATGGACAACAACCCGAGACTATGCTGATGCACCACTTTCGACGGCTACCAAGCGACACCGAATAAAGAACTGAGCTCCCCGAGGCTTGAACCCACGACTAGCTCCTCTTTTGTCGGGGCCGCTACCACTGAGCATACACAGGCGCCACTCTCATACATCACAACACATCACTAGGCGCTGCATATGCAACATACGCCACATCATGCCACATACTTGCATATTTGTGCGTCTAACTCTCACAACATGCCACATACGCCACACACACACATACTCCATAATATGCCACATAAACCACACGCGCCACATACTTGCGTATGCGCGCGTCGAGCTTCCACTTGTCAGTCTTGAGTGAGTTGTGCTTGTCGAGGGAGGCCTCCACTTGGCGCACGACGTGCTTGTTCTGCAGCAGGTCGTTCACCACCTGCACCACCACCTCCAGCTTCTGCGTGGCCGTTAGTGCGCTGAACGGCACCTGTTGGTGACAGCAGTGTTAGTGCACTGAACGGCACCTGTTGGTGACAGCAGTGTTAGTGCGCTGAACGGCACCTGTTGGTGACAGCAGCGTTAGTGCGCTGAACGGCACCTGTTGGTGACAGCAGTGTTAGTGCGCTGAACGGCACCTGTTGGTGACAGCAGTGTTAGTGCGCTGAACGGCACCTGTTGGTGACAGCAGTGTTAGTGCGCTGAACGGCACCTGTTGGTGACAGCAGTGTTAGTGCGCTGAACGGCACCTGTTGGTGACAGCAGTGTTAGTGCGCTGAACGGCACCTGTTGGTGACAGCAGTGTTAGTGCGCTGAACGGCACCTGTTGGTGACAGCAGTGTTAGTGCGCTGAACGGCACCTGTTGGTGACAGCAGTGTTAGTGCGCTGAACGGCACCTGTTGGTGACAGCAGTGTTAGTGCGCTGAACGGCACCTGTTGGTGACAGCAGTGTTAGTGCGCTGAACGGCACCTGTTGGTGACAGCAGTGTTAGTGCGCTGAACGGCACCTGTTGGTGACAGCAGTGTTAGTGCGCTGAACGGCACCTGTTGGTGACAGCAGTGTTAGTGCGCTGAACGGCACCTGTTGGTGACAGCAGTGTTAGTGCGCTGAACGGCACCTGTTGGTGACAGCAGTGTTAGTGCGCTGAACGGCACCTGTTGGTGACAGCAGTGTTAGTGCGCTGAACGGCACCTGTTGGTGACAGCAGTGTTAGTGCGCTGAACGGCACCTGTTGGTGACAGCAGTGTTAGTGCGCTGAACGGCACCTGTTGGTGACAGCAGTGTTAGTGCGCTGAACGGCACCTGTTGGTGACAGCAGTGTTAGTGCGCTGAACGGCACCTGTTGGTGACAGCAGTGTTAGTGCGCTGAACGGCACCTGTTGGTGACAGCAGTGTTAGTGCGCTGAACGGCACCTGTTGGTGACAGCAGTGTTAGTGCGCTGAACGGCACCTGTTGGTGACAGCAGTGTTAGTGCGCTGAACGGNACGAATGGCTACACTGTTCGAAAAACGGCAAAAAACAGTAAAAATAACGAGAGTTTTAGTGCCGAAATGTCCGTGAAATTCGACCACGATGGTTTAGCCTTAAATATGTAAACAACAAAAAATAAACAGATGCGACATGGTGTTGTTTCAACATGAGGTTGCATGCATGTTGAAATACATAAATAAATAAACATACATAGTTTCAACATATTGAAACGCCGTTGCGATTGTTTTTTAAAGTATTTTACCGTTTTTCCACGCTGTACCAACACATCAACACATGGTGATCAAATCTCGTAGTTAGAGCGGGCAGAGTTAGAGAGGGTAGAGTTAGAGAGGGTAGAGTTAGAGAGGGTAGGGTAGAGAAGAAGGGTATGAGGGAGGATAGAGAGGGAGCGTAGAGAGGGAGAGTTGTTAGAGAGGGTAGAGAGGGATGATCGATTTTGTTCTACGTTCTTTCTATTAGGTTATTCTTACAAGTGGATTATAAAGTCTTGACCCACCTAGTGAATCTTGACCCACCTAGCAGATCTTGACCCACCTAGCAGATCTTGACCCACCTAGCAGATCTTGACCCACCTAGCAGATCTTGACCCACCTAGCAGATCTTGACCAACCTAGTAAACCTTGACCTAACAATACCTCACCGCCATAATTTAAGAATACTTAAACCGCCACGTCAACGTCAAACAATAAAATCCCTTGAAGTAAAACCGAAACATTACCCCAGCAAAGCCATCAACTTTAACGGTTAAAACCATCAATATCACCAACGAAAAGCTCGTCTACCGCTCCATCAGTCTATTCACCGTCATTGTGGCCGACAACCACACGGTTCAAAGCCCATCCACTCAACTACAACCGTTCTCAATTTACTACCAAGATAGTAGTTACTCAGTTAACAAAAAATAAACCCTCATCGAACCACATAATATCAACCCCCGGATTCTGACCAACGACCTCCTCTCCTCCCAATACCCAAATCAACCATCCGCTGGATCGAAAATTCTTGCACGGCCATTCAACTTCAGCAGAATTCCGTCACCAGTGAAAAAAAATAACGAGTCATCTTCTCAAGCGTCCCACAAGGTTCCGTTATGTCACCCGTCTACTTCTATTTCTCCAAAAATTCACACGATTAGCATCATCTCTTATGCTACTGGATTTTAGCATCCCCCCAAAAAACGGTCCTAATGCCCAACGGTCCTCTCACCCAATAACTCATCAACTACGTATCGAAACAGTGATTTCTGCACTGAAAATCTCGACCTCCAAAACGACAGTCACCTTCATAACACTACACACTGCACAGTACTACCCTTACCCACCAAGTCAAAATCAACAAGCAACTTCTGCTACTAGCATACAACCCAAAATTTATGAGCCATACCTTCGACACCATCCACACCATGGATGAACTATAGAAGGTTGACCCATAGTTGAACTATATAAGGTTGACCCATAGTTGAACTATGTAAGGTTGACCCATGGTTGAACTATATAAGGTTGACCCACGAGAAGTACCATCTTTCAGTTCAGCTTTCTTGTTACGTCACTGAGATCCAGAAACGTAAACAAACCCGCCATTCCCATGACTGATTGGTTGACTGGTTTGATATTATTTCAGTGATTGGTTAATGCCCGTGACGTCACTGAGATCATTGACGTCACAGGCGAACAACAAACTACATCCGCAAAATGAGCTCCTCATGGGTCTGCTTTTAAACTAGTTCAACCATGATCCTCACTTCCACTGCCCACCACAACACCACGGCAGCTAAAGCCTCCGAGCACAATAACATACATAAGACAACCCCCAAGAACAACATGACGATGGCGCCTTGAATGCAATGTTGGGACCGTACAGTCAGCACTCACCTGCCGTCCTCGAGCTTGCGCCGCACTACGGACAAGTCGATCGGGCGCCGTATGACTCTCCTGTAGGCGGGGAACTGACGAGTATTGACGGGCCGTAGGAAGGGCCACGAGTCTGTNAGACATCCTCTTCTCAGCCCTGGCCTCCTCCCTACAAGTAGGACACACACCTCTCCCTAGACATCCTCTTCTCAGCCCTGGCCTCCTCCCTACAAGTAGGACACACACCTCTCCCTAGACATCCTCTTCTCAGCCCTGGCCTCCTCCCTACAAGTAGGACACACACCTCTCCCTAGACATCCTCTTCTCAGCCCTGGCCTCCTCCCTACAAGTAGGACACACACCTCTCCCTAGACATCCTCTTCTCAGCCCTGGCCTCCTCCCTACAAGTAGGACACACACCTCTCCCTAGACATCCTCTTCTCAGCCCTGGCCTCCTCCCTACAAGTAGGACACACACCTCTCCCTAGACATCCTCTTCTCAGCCCTGGCCTCCTCCCTACAAGTAGGACACACACCTCTCCCTAGACATCCTCTTCTCAGCCCTGGCCTCCTCCCTCCGTCTCTCGCGGTCGTGGTGGCGCTTGCGCGCGTCCAGGCAGCGCACCAGCGCGCCGTGGTACCGGCGCCGCTCGCGCTCCTGTGAGCACAGTGAGCACGGTGAGCACGGTGAGTGTGGTGAACATAATGAGCACAGTGAGCATGAGCGTGGTGAGTGTGATGAGCGTGAGCATAAGTGTGATGGGTACAGTAAAGGTGTAATAACTTACTGTGGTAAGCACAGTGAGTGTGGTGAGCACAGTGAGCACGGAGCACAGTGAGTGTGGTGAGGATAGTGAGCACAGCGAGCGGTGAGCGGTGAGCACAGTGAATGTGATGAACGCAGTGAGTGTGGTGAGCGTGAGCACAAGTGTGATGAGTACAGTAAAGGTGTAATAACTTACTGTGGTGAGCACAGTGAGCGTGGTGAGTGTGATGAGCGTGAACATAAGTGTTGTGTACGTTAATTAAGGGCGTAGTAACCTTTCTGTGGTGAGCGTAATGCGTAGAGAGCGTGGTAAGAATGAGCGTGGTGACCGTGGGTGTGGAGAGCACAGTAAACATGGAGAGCGTGAGCGTGAGTTTGGTCAAGAAAATCAACTAATGGTTCTTCATAGTAAATAGTTGAAGCAAGACTAGTTAGTAGTTACTAGGCACCGTCTAATTAGTCACTAGTTACTGGGCACCGCCAAAATAGTCACTAGTTACTAGGCACCATCTAACTAATCACTAGTTACTAGGCACCACCAAACTAGTCACTAGTTACTGGGCACTGTCTAACTAATCACTAGTTACCAGGCACCACCAAACTAGTCACTAGTTACTAGGCACTGCCTAACTAGTCACTAGTTACTAGGCACTGTGTAACTATTCACTAGTTACTAGGCACTGTGTAACTATTCACTAGTTACTAGACACCGCCTAACTAGTCACTAGTTACTAGACACCGCCTAACTAGTCACTAGTTACTAGGCACTGTCTAACTAGTTACTAGTGACTAGGCGCCGCCTAACTAGTAGGTAGCAGATGCTGGTAGCAGTATTAATATAACATATCCTGGAGGTCAACTACTGGGGGTCAACTAGTGGAGGTCAACTAGTGGAGGTCAACTAGTGGAGGTCAACTAGTGGAGNACTAGTGGCGACCTAGATTCGCTACTAGTTAGCTACTAGAGGCCACTAGTGGCGACCTAGATTCGCTACTAGTTAGCTACTAGTGGCCACTAGTGGCGGCCAGTGGACATACCAGGTCGAGCGACAAGAGGCCGTCCCGGAGCTATCAGTCCAGGGGGGCGGTGACAGAGAGACACAGTCAGACAAGGTGCTGGTGACACTAGTGGTAATGACACTAGTGGTAGTGACACTAGTGGTGGTGACACTAGTGGTGGTGACACTAGTGGTAGTGACACTAGTGTAATCGACAATCATAGATGCTAGTGCCAGTAGTGATAGTTCCAGTAGAGGTAGAGCCACTAGTTGCGGCTAGTGACTCTAGTATAATCAGCAACAGTAAGTGCACGGTACATGGAGTGGAATAGTGAGCATTGTAGAACTAGTGGGCCTCCTCAACTAGTGTCTGACATAAGAGCAAGTGTCAATAGCAGTGGTCACTAGTGTTGTGGTCAACCGTCACTAGCGGCAGGAATTCAAAAGTGACTGTTGGAATTTAGAGGAATTTAAAATTGGTCAATAGTCACATCCCAAATTAGCAAGGAATTTAAAAACGACGAATATGGCACAGCCATCTTTAAAAGAAAACGTTATTTAATCTAACTACGTCATCGTTTCGACAAATTTTCTTGTTCTGTCCAATTTAGGTTGTAATATTTAACTGTGAATTTTGAATTATCAACTGTATTTACTTTCAAGGATTGTTGATTATTTTGGAGCTATGGAATAACCGGTGCTGCCTTGCTATGGCATGTGGAGGGAATACGAATTGATTGAATAGTTGTAGGTTTGTTATTAGGTTTGATGGTGGACTAGTTTTGTGCGCTTGTTGGTAGAGGACTGTGTTTATGGCAAGGGTGTCACATTGATCGTGTAGTCTTTGTGAAGATATAACGTCGGGCCAGTGTGAGTTTGTGATGAATCCTAGTGTTTAGTCTTACATTTTCTGCAGTCGCCATATTACCGTTTTTGGTACTCTATTTGTTGAACGTTTCATCTAAAAGCTTTGAGATGTTGTCTATTGTGTCTCTTATCGAAATAAAAATTAAGGATGGCGCACCGATGATTATAGGTGGCGTAACGGTGGGTGGCCAGATCTGCCGAAAGTCGACAATAAACCACCAATAGATCGAGAGGATGGCGAGTATAAGTGGGAGTCATCGATGAATCATCGCTGATTTATAGGGTCTGAAACATCGAAGGCATATTGCAGACAATTGTCTTGTGAGCCACCGATAACCGTTTGCCCAAACTCAGAAGCTGTTACTCGAATGTAGCAGCATGTTCAAATAAAATTGTTGATGGAACCATTTAATCATCACGGTGGTAGCATTAGCTTGTCATTTGATGATATTAATACTTGCAATACTCCAGTCAAATGTTTTAAAATTACTCTAGTGCCAAGTCCTCTCCTATAGCTCAACGGTAAAGGCTTTGCTTCTCATGTGGGAGACCGGAGTTCAAATCCTGCAGGCAGGGAGTTTCTTCAACTCGATTTCTCACGAGGTATGTTTACGGTACTCTGATAATTTGTTCCTGCTGCATATCTGACATTGTTACCTGTACTATCGTGGTAGATTTATGTACGCAGCCCTTAGAATGGTGATTGTGTGGAACTATGTCAGTAAAGACGTAAGCATCGGATTTGAAACTAAATTAAATATTTTTATCGACTTCATTTTAAAAGTGGCAATCGGTAGCTCATCAATGCGCCACCGATGCCAATGGGAAGAACTTTACGGGTAGGGGGGCCATCGGCAGGTTATAGGTGTGGGATAGGTGGTGCACGCCACCCTTAATTCACTGTATAAATCATAGCTGCTCCACCTATGGCGTCCGCCTATAGCCATCATAAAAACATAGGTGCTCCACTTTTAATTTTTATTTGGGATATTATATATATATATGCATATCATCGAATTTTAGTATGAAGATAGTTTTGAGGATTTATAGTGAGTCTGGAAAGTATATAACCACTCGCAGAGCCATGATAGAATATGTAACATAGATTGTGTAACATTGTTCTCATTACGTTGTCTTATATGGTGCGTGCTGACTACGTTGTCTTGTATGGTTACTACACAGACTTGTGTTCGTTATCTGTGTCGTTCTGAGTGAATATGTCTTGCCAGGGACTGAGGAACATATTTTTTCTGTTCTGGTGTGTCAAGTTTACTGTAGTGTTTGAAGTCTTGTTCAGTGCTGGCACCTAGCATGCCTTTCAGGTATAAGAACAGAATTTTGCGAAAATCTGTTTGTGTTAAATAGTGTGCGTTAAAATAAGGGGGGGACGTAAGCAAAAGAACACGTCTAGAACACGTATAGTACAGGCAGCTAGTGAGAACGTCTAGAGACACAACAACAAGTCGGGAGCTCTAGATCAAGATCATAGCTGCTCGCCCAGATAGACCCTGACTACGGCGCCCAGATAGACCCTACGACGCACCTCCATGTGGGCCACGGCGCCCAGATAGACCCTGAGGATCTCAGACAGGGTGCAGGGCGTGACGTCAGCCCTCGGCAGGGTCTGCCCCAGCAGCGTGGTGGGCTTGGTGGGCAGACCAGGGTCTTCTATGGCGCAGACCAGCAGGTGGCACAAGACCGAGACCAGGTCGTCGTCAGACCCTCCCTCAGGAGACCCTAAGACGCACTGCTGCAGCGCCCCCAGCGACGGCAGGGCGTCCATGTCTGAGGGTAGAGTGGGGGTAGAGTGGGGGTAGAGTGGAGGTAGAGTGAAGGTAGAGTGAGGGTAGAGTGAGGGTAGAGTGAGGGTAGAGTGAGGGTAGGATGAGGGTAGAGTGAGGGTAGGGTGAGGGTAGAGTGAGGGTAGGGTGAGGGTAGTGTGAGGGTAGAGCGAGAATAGCTTGAAGGTAGCATAAGGGTAAAACGTGAGGGTAACTTGAGGGTAGCTTTAGAGTAACAAGAGGGTAGAAAGAGGTTAGAGTGAGGGTAACAAGAGGATATCGTGAGGGTAGCGTGAGGGTAACAAGTGGGTAGCGTAAAGGTAACAAGAGGGTAAAAAGAGGGTAACAAGAGGGTAGCGTGAGGGTCGCTGGGCTTATCACAGTTGGAGGCGAGGGTAACAATGACGTCATGGTGACAGAGAAGACGAGTATCACCATCAGTGATGAGTGAGTGTAGAATGGTGAGAGCAAAAAGCTCTTCATTATTATTGCTGTAGTCTTAGAGTTTCACCACTGACATGTAATTCAATAATTTTAGTTGATCGAATTTATTTCATCTTCAACATTATGACTACGTAACGCAAGAACAATGAGTCAGATGTACTCACTATGTAAATAATTCGTTCAGAATAGTGACATACTCAACACTCAATAGGTATATTAATGCATAATTCGATACCATTAAAGATACAGAAACTCCGTTTCAGTTTCCCTAAAACAGCCGTAAATGCAA